AACTAGATAAAAAACAAACACTATTTTTTGAGTTTCATGAATTTATTTTAATTTAAATTGGCAATTTTTTCGCTAACACAGTAGCTTCTTAAGAAATAATTTCAAACTTCATATAATAATAACAAACTTATATAACACAATTATTGCAGGTAATGGGTTTAAAAAAATATTAGTACAGTATGACAATTTAACATGTCAAAGTATAATGTAACAACAGTTGTAATAAAATAATTTTGGGGAATTGTCTATTAGAATAAATTTATCAATCTTGGCTTTAGTAGGTGATAGTGCTTAAAGATTATTAAGAGACTTATGCTTTCCTATTTTACCAAAGAATAAATCATTTAAGGAATTGTGTGATCACATGACAGAGCATTACAGTCCTCCTGAATCAGTTTCTCGCGAGAGAATAAAGTTCCAGAACGCACACCAGGAAACAACAGAAACCATTACTGAGTGGATTGCCAGATTATGAAGAATAGCAACAGATTGTTAGTTCGAAAGCAACTTGGAGTTTGCATTAAAGGAAAGATTTATTGCTGCCATGCAAGCAGGAAAAGTCTTAGACAGAATCTGCGAAGGAAAAACAGACATAATCTTAAAAAATTTGGTGTTAAAAGCAACTCACCTGGAAACAACCTTGTCAAAGAGGTCAGCAGTTGATGTTAGATGGATTCAAAGAGGAAAACACAGCAAGAAACCTGAGAGGCCAAAGGACAACAGACACACAGAATGGAGAGGTGAAAAGTGCAAAGTATGTGGCAGAAATCATCAAGTGGTGCAAGAGTGCAAGTACAAAGGCTACAAGTGTAAATTGTGTGCTAAAGTAGGTCATTTAGCTAAATGATATCAATGATGATATTTATGTAAGTGAGGATTTGAGTGATATTTATAGTGTAAAAGGTAGTACAAATATTATTAAACCTATTATTTTGAACATAAAAGTTGGAACAAAAATGCTAACTGCACAACTTGATAGCGGTGCAGCTTTATCTTTAATAAATAAAAATGATTTTTTGCAAAATTTTAGTCAAAATATTTTAACGAAAACAAAATTTGTTATATTTAATATAAAGTTTAAAAGTTACTTTGGAAATTGTATCATACCATTAGGGTGTTTATTATAAGAGTATTGTTAAGTCAGTGACATTTTATGTTGTAAATTGTAATGATCCAAACTTGCTGGGACGAGATTTTATTCACAAATTTGATATACTTTTTGACGTTTCAGCAATCACATTAGACAAGAATATTGACTCAATACTGAACAAGTATTCTGTTGTGTTTGATAGAAAAGCTGGGGTAGTATCAACATGAAACCAGATGCAACACCAACATTCTGCAAACCAAGGAACTAGATCGTCTGGAAAGGCAAGGGGTTATCACTCAAGTCGAGTCAAACGAATGGGGCACAGCTTTAGTACCAGTTCAAAAGGCAAATGGTGAGATCAGATTATGTGGGGATTACCGAATGAGTGTTAACAAGCATATAGTTAAAAGTAAGCTTTTTGCAAAACTGAAGGGATGATGAATCTAAAAGGATTTGGAGTACCACCTCATGAACAGAATGCCATACGGGATCTCCCCGGCATCATCACTATTTCAAAGGTATTTAGAGCAAGTGTTACATGGCATAGAAGGCACTGTAAACTTTCAGGATGACATGTTGATTACTGGAAAGGACACAAAAGAACACTTAGAAAGGCTATAGCAAGTCTTAATACGACTCAAAAATGCGGGTTAAAAGCAAAACTTACCAAGTGCTCATTTATGCAAGATAAGATTGCATATTTAGGACAAATAATAAATAAACATGGGCTAATGAAAAGCGAAGAAAAGATAAATGCGATAAAGGATGATGAAAAGCCAAATAGTTTCTTGGAATGGTGAATTATTATAATAAATATATAAAGAATGCCTCCCAAATATTAAGCCCTCTATACAATTTGCTGGGGCAAGACACTAAATTTAATTGGAATGACGTGTGCCAAAGTTATTGTTCTCGTTCATTTTGATCCACAGAAACAAATAGTATTAACATGTGGTGCATCTGATAGTGGCATTGGGGCAGCGCTCTTTCATAGATTTGAAGACGGATCACATAAACCAATAGAATTTATGTCAAGAAAACTACTACCAGCTGAAAAAATTACAGTGTAATCCACAGAGAAGCCTTAGCAATATTTAAAGGAGTGAAGAAGTTTCAAGAGTATCTTTTAGGTATAAAATTTATCTTGCAGACTGATCACAAGCCAATAATTGCCATTTTCGGGTAACACAAATCCATACCACAAATGTACCTAAGTTTCTAAGTCAATTCAATTCTACCATCAAGTACATCAAAGGGAAGAAAACGTAACTGCTGATTTTCTATCCAGAAATGCAATAGAAGTAACCCAAAGCAGCAAAGAGGATAAGCAGGATTTGTAGAAAGTGACGATTGGCCAATTAATAATTACAAAATTTCGGATGAAACAGCAAAAGACCCAGTGTTGAAAAAACTGGAGGACCAAATTAAATCTAATTGGAAATATCCCATAGACAAAGAGCTAAATAAATTCTATCCGAAACGAGAAGAACTACACATAGAACGTGATTGTATATTTTGGGGTTACAGGATCGTGATTTCGAAATCATTGCAAAACTTAATGCTAGAAAAATTACATATTAATATGTAATTCTGGCTAATTAGCCATTTAGGAATAAATAAAATAAAAAAATCTGACAAGATCATACATGTGGTGGCCTGGAATCAATAATGAAATTGAGAATTTGGCGAAATCTTGTGTTCCATGTTTAAAACAAAGATCAGATCCACATAAATAAAAAATAACTCCGTGGAAAATTCCTAAAAAGCCATGAGAACGAATTCATTTTAATTTCCTGGGGCCTATACTTCAAAGAAACTATCTTCTGGTTGTAGATGCACTGTCGTGAAAATTTTTGAGATGAATAATATCAGACTTATTTGCTCAGTTTGAACTACCAAAATTAGTAGTAACAGACAACGTTTCAGCTTTCACTCCATCGCAAATGAAAACCTTTCTACAAAAGAATCGAATCATGCATAAAACCTCACCTCCATCTCATCCAGCGAGTACTGGACAGGCAGAAATAAATGTAAAAACATTTAAATCCAAGATGAAGGCAGCTTTGGAAGACCACAAAAACAAAAATACACAAGTATCTATCCTAATATCTAGATTTCTCTTAAATTATAGAAATATGAAACATGCATCCACAGGGAAATCACCGTCTAAAATAATGTTTAATAGGAAACTTCGTAGTAGATTAGATCTTTTAAAAGAAAACAAACCAACAGTGTAGTACTGAAGATAAACAGTTTAAAATGGGAGAATATGTCATGATAAGAGACCACAGAAAAGTTAACGAAAAACAGTGGATTCAAGCAAAAATTATAAAAAAACAAGAAAAGGTAGTATACAAATGTCAACTTGAAAATGGGGATATATGGAGAAGACACAGGGATCAAATAATACGCAGACAAGTGCGTACAAGAACAGTAGATAATCAAAAGGTTGGAAGAAGTTTGGAACATGCAGAAAATAACGAGCAAACTGTTGTACCTCCAGAAACTTCCGTTGGCACTCCCCAAGTACAAGCAGAAACTTCCTTGAGCGCTCCTCAAACACAAACAGACACTAATAGTCATTAAAGCTCCAAGTAGTATAAATATAGTATGATTTTGTATAAAGTGTATTGTAGTGTATAAATTAATAATTATAAAAGGTTTATTATATAAAAATTGTAATATTATGTAGTTAAAGTACATTTAAAAATGTTGGGTGGAGAAGTTGAGTATACGCGCATGCGTTACTACAAGCGAGGTTGATCGCTCTCTTCTCACCTGGATGTGTGACTGAACGGTTGTGCTTGAATAAGATAATCAAATGTGAAACGTACAATAAAAGCGACTAAAGTTATCGGGCAGTATAATTTAAGGACCTAACATTTATGTACTAAATTCATTAGCTAAGACCGGATTTTAGGCCCTTAACACATAAATAGGCAATAAAAACCTACATTTTAGGCCGTTTTAGGCCGAAAGTGCCTAAAATAGGCCTCAACCGCCTAAAAGAGGCGATATGAAATAAAAACAACACGATTAAACATAACATTTATTCAGGTCCTATCAATAAAAATAAAACAAAAAATAATATAAAATACATAATAAAAATAATAACACAAACTCTTGCAAACAATTACCAGGTACCTACCCTTTGTGAGTTACTATGTTACAAGAAACCACAAAATTAACTAAGAATTAAATAAATAAACCTGAGTGACTACACATAATTTATTTTTCCTACCCCCACCTTTAAAACGCCCATTATCGTACTTCCATGATACTAATTGACCATTTAAATTACAATTTGAAAAGTTGTGGCTTTATGGCGCTTTAGTCACGGGCTGAAAGTAGTTTTAATATACATATATTTATAATAAATTTTGATATTTTAAGGCCGTTAGATTCCCAAGTTAGAAATTTTAACAGAAATTCCAATAAATACAACTTGTTGTACCTTTAACATTTCCCGTGCAAGAACTTTTAATACTTAGTGATAATATTTGCAATTATAGTAATAAGAAAAATTAAAGGATAAAATAATTTCTTAACATAATCAAATTTTGAAGTTATTTTAATATTTTAAAGTATCAATAGTTGTTAATTTTAATTAAAATAATAACGGGAATTGTTAATGGTAAAAATTACGTTAAAAATGTTTATTGGGATGGTTACTTTATTTTCGTGTCCCTTTAATAAAGGGCCTTTATACAAATATTGGGATTTAAATAATTTGTTAAATAAAATTAATTATTTGTCGTAGAAAAAGTATAGTATGCAACTCGTTTATAAACGTTTCTAGGCACTTATTCAATTAATCACTCGCTCACGAGCTCGCTCGTGCCTAAATTAAATTCGTGACTAAAATTGTGTTTATCAAACTTGATACATAATATACTATAATTTTTTTAAGGTTTATTGGCGAAGAATCTTCTGCCGCCGAAAACTCAATTCCTGAATTGACCGAAGAACCCACCTGGATTATAGATCCTATAGATGGAACTGCAAACTTTGTTCGGCGAATACCATTAAGCGCTATATCTATAGGATTAACGATTAATAAGCAAGTGGTCTTAGGAATAGTATATAACCCCCATTTAAATGAATTGTTTCATTCCATTAAAGGACAAGGATGTTTCCTTAACGAAGAGCGTATACAAACTAGTGGGTTAAAAGGCATGTAACTTAAATTTAAAATTTTATATAATTTTAAAATTAATCATTTTGTTATAGATATTAATGGAGCCTGTTTTAATTATGAACTATCTTTAGCTAGAAGAGAATTATTAAGAAATTTGTATTTGTATAGACTTAAACATTTAATTGGGCGTACAGAAGGGTGATTAATAATAAATTATTATTTAATTATAGAACAAAGATCTGGCATAATTGCATTTATATGGTAGTCTTGAAAAGGTGATATTTTGCGAACAGTCACATACTATCAAAACACATATTCACACATAATTACAGTCTCGTAAAAACGGGGGTTGCTTTAAGCCTATTGTCCCATACAAACTTTGAGGTTAGGTTTTTATAACATTAAATTTTGATGCAATTTTTCGATAAAATAAACCGTTTCCGAGATATTCGAGATAACAATAATTGTTATATCGCATTATTTAAAAGGATTAAAAGGTATATGATATCAAATTTTATTTTATTCCATGAGCCTCGGGACTTTTTGCCCTGACCGTCACATTAAAAAAATTGCAGTTTTTTCAATTAAAAAATTTGTTATCATATACCTTTAATGCGATATAACAATTATTGTAATCTCGAATATCTCGGAAACGGTTTATTTTATCGACGTTTGAGAGGTACACCTTTTTAATAGTAGCCAAACTGAGTAATCGAAAAATTGCATCAAATGGTATAAAAACCTAACATCAAAGTTTGTATGGGACAATAAGCTTAAGCAACCCCTGTTTCTACGACACTGTGTTCACTCGAACAATTGTAATTATGTGTGAATATGTGTTTTGGTAGTAAGTGACTGCTCGCAAAATATCACCTTTCCAAGTCTACCATAGTAGAAGTTATATTAAAAGAACTGATTTGATAAGTAACACTTTATTACCCTGTATCTTTTAAACATACGTAATTAGGAAAAATATTTATTTAGATTTTCGTCTTAGTTTGACTTGCTTAATCTGCTCCTAAATTTATGCTACTAAGTTTAGGGACACCTTGTATATATGTCGGAGAATAGACATTAATTTGATTGGCGTGTTTATTAAAATAACAATTTGGTAAAATAAGGAATTTTTTTTATCATAAATAAGACTTAAGAAATAGATTTTTGAGGAACAGTTATTATGTCTGCAGTCCGATAAGGATGCATTAGTGAAGGTGATGACTAAAGCCTAATTTTCATGTATCCGTTTTTCAATAAAATCGTCCGACAAGAAATGTTCTAATTTTCATGCATCCGTTTTTTAATGACGTTTAACGGATTGATTTGGCGATAAATAGAAATAAAAGACCAGTATATTCACTTTACTAAATTTACCTAATGCTTAATTGCCAATTTCAATAAAATCGTCCGACAAGAAATGTTCTAATTTTCATGCATCTGTTTTTTAATGACGTTTAACGGATTGATTTGGCGATAAATAGAAATAAAAGACCAGTATATTCACTTTACTAAATTTACCTAATGCTTAATTGCCATAGTTACAATTATGTCAACAATTGTAATTTTATCAGTTAGCTGTCTAAATTTAAAGGTGGGTAAATAAACCATATAAAAATAATATACTAGCCTTAATATACATTAAAATGTATAGTTTTAAGAAAGCAGGTCCTTTTAGTTCTGGTTTTAATACTTTTTTGTTTGTCTTTTCTTTTTTTTCGTTTTTCCCGAATTAAATTAACAGTAGAACACGTCAAAAACAGATGTGTAGTGAGTTAAAATTATTTTATCTACGCCAGTGAGATAAGAAGTTCATTAACGCACGCGTTTTTCTCTGCTTTTAACCAATCAAATAAAAAAGTTAAAATGTCAAAATGTCAAAATAACCCTAAATTAAGTCTTAGACAAAAATAATTACCGTTTATTTTTTCATTTAGAGGCGTAGATAAAAATTTGTACAATATACGTGTGATAACGCTTTATTAACGTACTTTTGCGATTGCCCAACTCGTGCTACGCACTCGTTTTCCCTAAATTGCTTCAATGTTTTATATTTTAACATTCTCAAGAATCTATGAATAATGAGCCAAAAATCCATTCAAAACTGCGATTAATTTGGTTTTAAGACTATAAAATTAGCATGTTTGCTTCATAATATTATTATGTTAAATCTCTTTGAATAATTTTAGTAAAACAAAATTTCAGGCCATAAATCCAAATTTTAATCCAACTTAAAGAAACCTTCATTAATATAACAGTACGTTCGTTTCATATGTTGGATCTTTGTTCGAAAAAAAATTGTCTTTAAATTGTTGCAAAGAGATATATACATAATTTAAAACCTACTTAATACAACTTTTTAGAATAAGATCGTTAGGCTCTGCTGTTTTGGGATTGTGTTACGTCGCAAAAGGAGCTATTGATGCCTATCAATGTGATGGTCTTTATGCTTGGGATGTTGCCGCTGGTAGCCTATTTGTACAGGAAGCTGGTGGCTTTATTTGTGATACAACAGGTATAAAAAAACCTATTATTAAATTAACATTAATTAACATAATGAAATATTTTTAGGAAAGCCTGAAATAGATATAATGAACCCAAATTTTTTGGCAACAGCAACAAAAGAACTTTCTGATCAATTTATGGCAATTGAAAAAATAGCTGATGAAGAAAGAATAAATAACGAACTAAAATAACATTATTTAAAATACATGTAAAGTTCAATTTAAAATTAAAAAACATGTAGTATCGGAATCTTTCATTTAAGGAAGCAGAAGTAATTGTAAACTATCCTTTTTATGATAAAATAACCACTAGCTAACCTCTTAGAATTTCCTATCCCTCAACTTGCAACTCTATCACAAAATATTCCAACTTAGTTATTATTCCAACGGCCCAGTATTCAAACACATGTATAGTTTCCACCCCGGTTTAAACAGGTTTTTTCAAAAACAAAAACGCTTGCACCCGTCGATTTCTGATTTGAGGTGGACAATTTATTTTTATATTTTTAACCCCTCAACTTCAACCCGTAAGCGTGGGTGATAGTTACCCTCAAAAGTTGAATAGAGGATGGGGTCGAGTGATCCTTCATTGTGAAGGTATTTTTGCTCTGATTATACCCTCCAAGTTTGAAATCGCTGCTATTATCCCCATTGATATGACAGCTTATTAAAATCTTGGAAATATACTATTGTTTTAGTAGTCCTGAGTAAAAGCGATAGTTTTGTGACAAGTCTGCAGTTTTGCCAAACGAATAAAGTAATTAGCAGCAAAACATCAGTTTTTTACGTTTGAAGAAAATAGTGTGTTTTTGTAAACTTTTTTTACTAGTATTGTCGCACCATAACTGAGCGAGTTAAATTAGTTTATACTTATTTTAAAAACAATGACTGTGCAAGACAAACAGCAAGACTACTTAATAAAAGACATAAGGAAAAAAATGTCTTGAATACTTAAGTTAGGAAATTGATGGAAATTTTTTTGAAAACTTGAACAGTGGAGAACAAAAAAGATAATCCGATTCGTGTCATTAGGAATGAAGGCATGCAAATCGCAGTCCTAGGGCACATTAAAATGGATAACTCATTAAGTACCAGGTAATTGTCCGAAGTTTACGGCATATCACGAACAAGAGTAAGGAGAATTTTGAAGGTTCACAAATTTTACCCCTACAAGATACAATTGCTTCACAAACTTAATGAGGATGATTATGATCGACGATTAAAATTTGTCAAAGAAATGAGTGAACGGTGTATTGGCAATCCAAATTTTCTTTACAATGTCTTATTTTACATGGTTTGGTCAATCGATATAATTGCCGATACTGGAGCGATTCAAACCCACATTTATTTAGAGAGTTTCATACTCAATATCGTATTGAATGTTTGGGCAGGCATTCTAGGCAATAACATAATTGGACCATTCTTTTTACAAGGCAATTTGACTGGGGCCATGTATCTGACTTTGCTCGAAGAAAATATTGTTCCTAGAATAAGGCAGGTTATTGGTGAAGATAACAACTTGTCACAAGATTTAATGTTTTTTCAACAAGATGAAGCCCCACCGCATTATGCTGCACCCGTTCGGCAATTTTTATACGACAATTTTAGAGACCACTGGATTGGCCGAAGAGAACCACTTCTTTCTATGGGGCGATTTGAAGTCTAAAATTTATAAAAACACAGCCAGTTTCTGTTCAAGTTCTACAAGAACGAAAAACTGATAAGTGTCAAAGAATAACCGCCGATATGTTGCAGAATTTTAGAGAAGAGATGGAGTATCAATTTTATTATTGTATGAATATTAATGGAGGACATTTTGATTAGTTTTTTAGATAAATAACATTAATAATAATAAAATATTAAAACTTCAATTAGTAGGTATTTTTATTAAATATCGCTTTTACTCGTAATAATTATTTTAAAATAATAGTCTATTTTCAAGATTTTGAAAAGCTGTCATATCAACGGGGATGATAACAGCGACTTTAAACTTGGAGGGTATAATCAGGGCGATCACTCGACTCTGTATTCAAATTTTGGGGTAATATCACCCACGCCTAGGGGTTAAAAATATAAAAATAATTTGCCCCCCTTAAATGCGAGTGCAAGGGTTCGTAATACCTGAGAAAACCGGGGTGGAAACTTGGTTTTCCCTGTATATATATATATATATATATATATATATATATATTGTAATGGTTCAGTACTTTAATACGTTTTACCAATTTATTTTTGAATAAGTTAGTAGTTGAGTTGCTTCCAGTGTGGACCTCGTTCTCCACAGGTCAACGTTAACGTTGACAGACTAACAGTTAACTGCCCTGTTAAACTAACAACATTTTTCCTATTTTTGGACCTGTAGGGGGTAGATAGTGTAACGAGCGTCGTGTCGTTCCATTGATTTGCATAAACCTTTAAAGAAACAATGCCTAATCGTGAAATCCTTTGCTACTTCATAGCCGAACAGGGTTTTTTCTCAAGCTCTTTTTTTTCCTGGTCGTATCTCCCTAAGGGCCACCCCTTGTTTTTTTTTAAACTGTTTGTAAAGTAAATTAAATTGGGGTAAACTAAATACAGTATTTTATTTTTTGTATACCTATTTCTCCCAAGTATGATTCTTAAAGCAATGTATTTAATAAAACAAGTAACAGGTAACCACAACGTACAGGTCCAAATTTTGGTAAGACAATCACGAGCCATAGTCACAAAATAGTTCATTTATTAATTTTTCATAAAACTTGTTTTAGGGAACCTGGTGTAAGGAGAAATCTTTACAATATATATATGCAATCCTACATTACCAAGCCTGAAACGTTACATTCTACAGTATAAACGAAGCCCACTCGGTTATACGAAGCCCGAAATCGGGCTTTCTAAAATTACCGTGTATAAATTTGTTTTAGAGTTAAGTGATGCCCCCTTGTTTGCCGAAAAAGGGGTGGGCTTCGTAATGTCATATAAAAATATCAAAAAATACACCTTTAGTTCCAATGGTTCAGCGCTAGGGGGCACATGAGTGAAACAAGATTATATAAGTCCATTATTTACAAAACTTGCTATTTGCTGGAATTCATTTTTTTGGAAAATCAAAAAAAAACGACTAACGTTAGTATAAACAACTGCCTTTCTGAAACAAAATTGATACCATATGGGGCTCCTCAAGCTTCCATAATGAGCCCGGTTCTTTTTATAGTATATATCAATGATCTTTTCTTTAACCTATTACCCAAAAAAAGTGTGGCTTTTGCTGATGATGTCACAATGATCGACTCTAATAAGGATCTAATTTCACTTAAACTGTCTGCTAAAGAATCTGAGACTACTGCTTTTAACTGGTTTACGCCTAATAAATTGGCAATGAACAACGAGAAGACCCAGAGTTTAATTTTTTCAAATAATTCCAACGTTACTAAAGGAAATCACGTAAAACTCCTAGGTATCACAATAGACGATAAATTAGACTGGAAAGCGCATATTGAACAACTTGGCAAAAAACTTTCCAGTTATATTTTCGTAATTAGGCAACTGTCCTATATACTTTCACCTGACATCCTTAGGACCTGTTACTTTTCGTTATTCAACTCCCATCTTATTTATGGTATAATTTTATGGGGCAATTCAGTGAATGCCATAAAAATCTTTAAATTGCAAAAACGAGTGGTTAGAGTTTTAGTGAAGGCCAAAGCTAATGAACATTGTCGACTCATTTTTAAACATCTTCAAATTTTGCCGCTATCGTGCCTGTTTTTACTATATTCTTTAATGGAAATCCACAACACCAAATCTAGTCACATTTTAAGTCATAATATTCACAACTACAATATTAGAAACACAAATTTCTTAAGAACCTCACAGTTTAGGCTTTCAAAAACTTTTAAAAATACCTTAAATGTCAATTTATACAATCACCTACCTCAAAAAATTAAGGAACTAATTTCCAAACGATTTAAATCGACACTAAAAAGTATTTTATTAGAACAATGTTTTTATTCAATTAAGGAATATCTTGAACATGTTTTTTAACCCATACATAAAGTTGTATTTTCTTTTAAACACTGTTGTGGTTTGTTTGTGTTATTTATAAAAATTTTATTTATGAACAAAACATATGTATTTTTAGTTACTATGTATTTACTTACTATTCTCTAATGGTATTGTATACATTTTTTTTGTCCTGTCACAAACATATTGTAATGTTGACCAATAAATTTATTATTATTAATATTGTACCTACTGCTTTTTTCGCATTCAAAAATATATATTATTGTTGCTTAAGGTTTATAGGAGTATATAGTAGAAGTTTGCATCCTAAAATAGTTACATATTTTTGGAAAAAAATTAATTTTTATTGCATACCTATAGCCAGTTTTAAAAATAAATCTAATTTAAAAAAAGTTTAATAACGAAGGCAAGGCATTTATTGAGGAAAAAATAAATGTGCTATTTCTATTACTTATATTATTTATTATATTTATTTATATGTACCTAAGTAAGTACTTATAAACATTAAAAAACAAATGGAAACTCTTGGGAACTTAAATAAAACATGGGTCATCGGCATTTTGGCAGCTTTCCAAACCATCAACGGTTTCTTCTACTGAGGATGAACCTTTCTGCAAATGTTCTTTGTAAAAATCTAGTTGTGGAAGGCTGGTCCAATTTTCTCTATAATGTTTTGCAAGGAGACCATTAATAATATTTATATCCCCTTTCAGTGTTTTCCCAATGGTATTTTCCTAGAAAAAAGACAAAATTTTTTCTTACAAACACTTTTAACTTTTTCGACGTAAACGCAGTAATTGGGTTCACCTTGGATAAAACAACTAAAGCGGCAGTCCCATACTTATTAATTTAAAAAAATTATAAGGTTAAGAATTTAAGGGATACCTTGCAAGTTTTTCAAAGTTCCTTTTATGTTTTTCTGGCTGAACAAATTTCTTGCATCCTTTTTCCTGCGGACTAGATTTAATAGGCACTATATTTTTACCTCCTAACTCCATAATGATTAAAAATAATTTAAAAATTCCGCAATTTGAAAGAAAAACACCTGTTTCGTCGCTTAAATCCAGTGCGTTTCAAACAGCTGTTAAGCACGTGTTTATCACGTGGGCAACGAGCGAATAATTTGATTGGCGGCAGAGCAAAGAGCGAGTTTTGCAAGTAAGAAGTCAAAATAAAGAGCCAGTTTTGCATATAACCGTTATTTTCTAGACACTATTTGCATGCTTTAAAGGAAATTTTGCATATGTTTGATTTTAATTTTGAAATTCTCGTTAAAATTTAAATATGTTTAAACAAAAAAAAAACAATTTTTTAAGGTTTTGCCGATTAGCGAGTTTTGCAAAT